ACAGGGTTTCTCTGCCCTCGCACTACTCACATGTGGGGACAGATAATTCTTTGTTGTGGGGGGCTGTCGTGCGCATGGTGGGATGTTCAGTGATACCCCTAGCTTCTACTCACAAGAGGCTGGTAGCACTGCCCTTCCCCGTGCCCCCTCCATACTCCCATACATACAAGTTGTGGTTGTTACACCAAAAACGCCTCCAATCATTGCCAAATGTCCTCTGGGAATAGGGCTACCAGATTTAGAAAATAAAAAATAAAAGAGGCCTAGTTAAATTTGAATTTCAGATAAGCAAAGAGTCATTTTATTATAGTATTTGGGACATACTTATAGTAACAAAATTATTCATTGCTTATCCAAAATTCAAATGTAACAGAGCACATCCTGTATTTTACCTGGAAACCCTACCTGGGGGGCAAAGTCACCTCCAGCTGAGAACCACTGATCTGCGGTAACCAACCATCCCAGTTTCCCCCAAGCTGACCTGGTTTAGCACTGAAAGTCCAGCACCCTAGGAAAACCCTCAGTCCCAGGTGGACTGGGACAGCTGGCTACCCTACAAGGTCCACCCTCTATCCTTTGTGCTGGTTTCAGCTTCCAGGCTCCCCACAGTCCTTGGGAGACGCTGGTGCTTTCAGTGGAGGAAAAGGCTTCATTGCAAGACTGATGGAGCTCTCCATGGAAACTACTAAATGGTTCTATTTTTGCTGAATTGTTGATTCACAAATACAACTAAAACATTACCAATAATGGCTCGAGTCAGCCTTCAAAGTGGCCTATTGATTTTGATGGCCTCAGAGTAAATTATTCTTCCCAGAAAACAAATCCATATCCTAGATATTTCATCTTAAATAATCTAATACCCAGAGCTAATGGGACTGCCCCACCAGCTAGTGAGACTATAGCTATGCTTTGGTCTCCCTATAAATCCTCAAGATGGATTTTTTGGTGGGTGGTTGTTGCCCTACTTCAGAGTTGTATTGACTGGTCTCCCCCTGCATCCTGGGCTGTTACTAGGCAACAGGGTTTTTTTCCCCCCCTATCATTTTGCATTGGGCAATACAGCAAAGTGAAGCAGAGGGAGGGAGTGTCCAAGAAGATTCTTCTGTGCTAACGTATCTACAGGTATTGCTACCCACACCCCATTCTTCACAGTTATTTTCATTAAACTCTAGACGTTAGACAATATGAAAAGGAAATCCATCTTGGGTTTCTTCAGCCCATATCAGGTTTCCAGGTATTATAATGGCCAGCTTACAACTGTGTAGTTGATGATATCCATGGGGGTAAAATAAAAGTGTTCTCCAAGAACTTGGAAATGAGGCCTTTTCCCGAGAATTAAACTGAAAATGGTCACATACAATGGCTGTGACTAATTCGGTAAATGCACTCCTGAGAAGTCTGGGAACACCTCATATTCCCCTCAGGGAATCTAGACACAGCCTCTGAGAGGCAGGATGCAAGGTGACCTCCCTGGGGTCACCGTACCATCGTGCACAGTTCTTCTCACTGGGAGCTGGACATTGGTCTTGGTGGGAGTATTTACACCATGGAACCTGGCAAATGCTTCAAATCACAGCTTTTTCTTTTCCTAGAGGACTACTTGTTAAACATTTACTAGTCCACTGTTGACTAGAAATATAATTCATACCTAGAAGCCCGGCCCCTTGAGTTTGACCATGTCTGGAGAAGGACAGTATAAAAACAGCCTGGCATTGAAACAGACGCCCCGAGACTTGGCCATTCTCTTAACAGTAGCTAGCCAGGGACCTGCCCCTATCCAAGTGTCAGCGGTGTCCTGTCTATTGATCAACTGAATATAACTTAGCTTCTCAAACTTTGGATTATAATGCTAGCTAGTTCTATTTCTCATTATAAATGAACAAATTAGCATTCCAGGCTTATGTATCCATCTTGGGAGCATAAGTGCTTCCCAATGCAGTACTTACATGTCCAGTATTCGAAAGAGTAAGACATCCTGGGTTTGAGCCTCAGCTCTGCAGTATAATCTAAGCACATTGCTCTCAATGGTCTTACCTCTGTCCTTCCCCCAAGTGAGCCCCAGATCAGCCCTCCCCATCTCCATGAAGCTTTTGCCGACGCACACACTAAGTGTGCCCTTCTCTAAACCATTATTTTGTTTTATTTCTAATCTTGTTTCCACCAACTAAATTTTATGATGCTTGAAGACAAGGACGATGCTTTATATGACTCTTTTATTCCCAGAAAGACCTGTCCCTATCTGCCCATGTGGCAGGTACCCAATACAAGCTCACTGTGAGTTAGTTAATTAATAGATTCTTGAGGATGTTGCAAGGGGAGTACAGGGTATGTTTCACACCACCCATCAAAGGTACCAAGCTGCCTATTGCCCACTGCATGCCCTTCCCTTATTTCTCACCTTACTGGGTGCTGTTATCTCAAGGACATGTCCCCAACTGTATCAGTGAGGATGTTTTGAGTACAAAGAACAGAGGGCTCCAACTCACCTTTGGCTTCAACAGTAAGCAAGTCCAGGTGGATACAGGTCAGCTTCCAGCTATCCTCAGAGGCCCAGGAACCTTCTGTCTTACCACCCAGTCATCCTTGATATTGGTCTGTCCTAGGGAAGAGAGCAGGATGACACATCAGCCCCAGGCACTCGCTGATGCCAAAGTCCACAGGAAGAAAAGGCGCTCTCTCTCTTCCTGAACCTCCTTCTTAGGACAGCGTAAACCTTCCCCACACACTCCCCCCACCCCGCACACATACACACACAGGCTTTTCCTCGTGTCTCATTGGTCAGGAGTGGACCACATACCTTTTATTTAACCAATCACTGGGCACAAACGACCTCGCCACCAAAAGCATCATTACTGCTCCTCCAAGTTCTGCTGGCTCGCCCACTAAAATGGGGGCACAACCACCAAAAAGAGGGAAATAAGTTTCTTTTCCTTCTTCTGTAAATCTGACAAAGTAGTACAAAAATTCCTTTCAATTTTTAGTGAAAAGAACCGTAACAGATGCTATTAGTGCCCTGCCAGTATTTCTTGGGCTGTACTATTACAGTATGCGACAACCAACTTCAAACCTCAGTGTCTGTATCTCTGTGCCTGTGGCCTCAGAACCTGGGAAGACCACTCTGCCTACAGGAAGCAGGTCAGAAGTGTCAGGGCATTGTCGTCCCAGCCCCCCAGCAGCCCTCACTCCATTCTTCTCAGGGGAGGGGGTATAAACACCCAGCTCCCTCACACCTGGTGTGTGTGGGGTAACGCAGGTGTGTGTTCTCTACTGTATTCATGGTTCCCCCACAGGATTAAGCTCCAGGCACCCCTGGTTCCCTTTATCTTCCTATTGCTGTTCCCCTTACCTCTCAAAATCCTCATCTCAGGGTCTGCTTCTAGAAAAACACCAGCTAAGACTTCAAGTTAAACCTACCACCTTGTATCCCCTTGGAGTCCAGGCATGGGTCATCTATGAGGGGACTAGAAAAATCTGGGGGGAGAGGACGAGTTGGCGCCCCAAGCATCCTCTCTGCCCACTCCATGTGGAAGTGTCTAGCGTGTCCGAATCACACTCCCAGTAGACACAGAACATGCTGACCTCTCATCTGTAGTCCAGGCTGCAGAATTCCCTTCAACTACCTAAGGAGACTTATCGTCACATACCTTTGGGGAGCTGCTCACTTACAGACAAAAAGAAATAAAGGTGGGAAAGTTCAGGATTGGCATAAAGGAAAGAAAGGGAAAAGGGGAGAAGGACAGACAAAACCCCCCAAATATTATCTATAAAAGGGCCTGGCCTTTCTGAAGGGGTTTTAGCGATTGAAGGGGGTGCTTCATTCATGGGTGTGAATTCAGGAAGCAAATTTTTCTTTTCTTTTTAGTGGAGGGGATGTCGGTATGACTGTCCTTAAGAAGTTCTAACATAGAAATGATACCAAAGAATCCAGTGATATTTAACTTAGTCTGCGGCTACCCCCGGTTCCCCAAATCCTAAGCTTTGGAGAGTTAAGTCCACTTGTGGTCACTTCTCTCAGATCACAACTTTGCCTGCGACAGTCCTGATACTGGCCCTGCATCCCTCCTCCCAAACTCTCGGGGCCAGGCACATTTCAGAATTTAGAATGTACTTTAGAGAGGCAATTTGGTGCACATACCACAGTTTACATAATACCCCCAGTGGACTCTGGCATTTCTCATAATCAATGACATTGATAGCATGGCGGCATCATGCATATATCTTCACACCCAGTGAGATCAATAAAGGCTATAAATAGCCTCTCCCTCTCCTTCATGCAGGTCAGAGATTTCTGCCAAATGACATAAGCCAGGTCGAGGTCAGATCTAGCTGCTATTTAGATTATAACTGACTTGGCTTTCAGAGCTTTTTGGGTCTTGAGATTCTAGATAAGGGATTCTGGAACAATAGAGGCAGGTTTTCACAGAAACATATTAACATTTTCAAAACAAAGTGAACTCTGGCTCTTACCCTGGGCGAGACCTCACCAGCTGCCATTTGTGAAAGCCTAGATGGGGTTAGAGAAGGCCTCAGCCCCCAGTGCCTGAGCTGGGCTATCGTCCTATGACCATGTTATCATAAGGTTGAGGGGAAGGGGATCCCTTGTGACACCAGAAACTGCTGGAACCCAAGGAGTCAGCCAGCAAAGGTGGCCAAGGAAGTCCTTTAAGGGCCGCATCAAGTGTCACATCTTAGGGACAAGTAGTGGGGACAGCATGGTCGAGACTTAGGCTGGGAAAAGGAAGACTGGACATCTCTACTTGGGACCGACTGAGGCACTGGAGGCAGGTCGGCTATCCTGGTTGGATAAATACTGCCTGGGCTGAACTTGCCTCCAGAAGCCACCAGTGAAAAGGCGCATTCATTGTCGGGACACATATACCCTGGTCCTGCCCCATGTGAGAGGATGAGGTGATCAGACTAATGAGGGCAGGCCGGGCCTCGAGGGATGGGAGAGTGATTTCTTCGGCCTGAATCACTCTTAGTGGTGTAGTTAGAAGGTGAGCAAACTCTTACCCATAAATTATTGAAAAGCTAAGTGACTTTCATCTCCAGCTGTCTTCTCTTCCAGGCAGGGTACATCACTCAGAAGGCAGACAATTTGAGTCTGGCTGTTTCCCATCCAGGATGCAAACCTGAGCTCTCAAATCCTTGCTCAGATCCTGCACAGTGGGGCACACAGGGCAGGCCTCTGTAACAGAACAGAGATAGAACAGAGATACAAACAAGGCCAGCAGGAGCCGTATCACCTGCCCAACCCGAGTGACCCATTTACTCGGGGGCCAAGAACCTCCTAGAAAAAGGGCTTGAACAATGTCAGTAATCAGAGTTCTGACACGTAAACAAGGCATGCTTTGTGAACTGAGGGTAAGTCCCCTGAGGGCTATCCACAGAGCCTGAAGAAGAGCCAGGCACGTCGCAATCATCACACAAACAGTAATAGCAAAAACACACAGAGCCTGACTGGGGTCAGTACTGTTCTAGGCATTTTACTTAAATGAACTCACCTAACTGGAACAACCTCGTGGGGTATATAGTGTATGTTTTTATCATGGCCTCTGGTCTTGCCCCTGATTCAAGTTGAGCTGTGATGGGGAGCTCCCTGCTTAGACAGGGCCCCTTAAGTGTGTGCACAGGCCTTGCCCCCTCAGGGACTGACTGAAGCTGCAGAAGCAAGCTCAGCCCCCTGAAGGGCAGGGCAGGCAACCCCCGGTGCCCAACCCCCACTCCAGACAACTTTCCACCAAAGGGGGCTGGGAGCCGTGAATAAATGCTCCAGCCCCTTCCTTCAGGGGGGGTAACCCTGGGGGGCTCTGCACACTTCTCAGAGGCCTCAGCACAACTGGGGTCCCACTGTAGCAGCAGTGACCTCATTAATGCACCCACTTGCTGATGCTTTTCCTTCCTTCCCCATGCATCTTCCTGCCCCCTCACCCCTGCTTCCTGGGGTTACTTTCCAAATGAACGATCTGCACCCAAGTCCTTGTCTCAACTCTGCTTGTGGGGAGACCCAAACCAAGACAGATAGATATCATTCTTACACAGATATTACACATATTACACATCAATTACTTTACAGATAATCGATTCACAATGAGTATTTGTTGTTCACTGAATGAATTAATGAATGTGAAGTTGGAGTGGGAGGAGAATGATTTGAGCCAAATATCCAAAATGGAAGGCAGGGTCCTTAGAGGGTAGCGGACGAGGGAGGATGTCATACCAGCTGTTTCCTGCCCTGGACCTGAAGGGTGTCCCAACATAGCTACGCAGATGGTCTGTATGGACCCCAGGCAGAAATGGGTGTGGCCTGTAGGAGGAACTAAACTTGCCTCCCACTGACATCTGAGGCTCCTGGGGGTCCAAGTAGCCTTGCTGTATGTCCCCTGTCACAGAGTCGGGCCGAGAGGAGCCAATCCTCACTGAGCAGAGCTGAAAGCATCAGTGGCTGGAGTGAGCTGCACAGGTCCGCTCCTGAAAGCCTCTTTTGGGTGCAGTCCTGGACGCTCTCAGACTTGACTGGCAGTTGTGGCTGACTGTGGGGATTGCGTCCCAGCAGGCGGCTCAGTCTGGGATATGGACAGGGCTGGGGGAGCTCTCCAGTGTGACCAAGGGCGGCTGCAGGAGAGAGCCGGCTCTCCCAGGAGCCCAGGCAGGAGTGCTGGACTTTATCAGAATGGCCAGCAGCCCCCACCGCAGGCCTGGGCTTGGTGGATGATGGTGACGACACTGTGGCTACCCCAAACCTGGTCTGACTCAAAAGCTCCCATTAGCTCTTCTTGGAGACTCCCAGGGATACCTTGAGATGGGGCTTGCAAAAGACCGGAGTTCTTATTAACAATTAATGTGACATGATTTATCCCCAGGAATGGTGAGGCTTCGGACAGCTGGTTACAACATTCTAACTTAAAGAAATATGTCTAGAGATCCTTACGCAGCCCTCACTCATGGAAGTGTGACCACAGTTTCTGAAGAGCGGCAGCCTAGGCTAGAATCTCAGCTTGGCCACCTATGAGGTGTGTACCAGGGCCATGTCTATAATACATGTGCCTCTTGTGCAAAATGGGTACAATATTATGTAAGTGTCAGGGGGTTTGTCATGAGGAATAAAGGAGGTACCGCATTCAGAGCAGTTCGCACATAGAGTAATCACTCAACACCTGTTAAAGAATATGGACCCTGACCCTGCCCAGCTTCTCGCGTCTCAACTAAGGCTACAGTTGTAAATATTGATCATTTTATTTGGCCATCCAATATCTGAACCCCCTTTTTATTGGGAAGTTCCCCCACTTTATGAGTCTTCAAGGTCTTTGGTGCCCACCTGCCATTTAGACACTGGCAGTGACAGAAAGTAGAGTTCCCGGCAGCCTTTGCAGCCAGGGCACAGGCCGTCTCCGGGACCCCTCAGCCCTGTGCCCATGCTGGGCTTCGACTCAGGAGCTAGAAGTAGTAATGGTGGAGTTCATTCTCTCCTGCTCTGCTGCAGGTTCAGATTTGTGGCACAGGGTTGGCCGCGATGACACTCAGGGTTCAATGGCTGTAGGAGCCATTTCTCCAGAACCCATCTGCCATGTAAGATTCTGGGTGTTGCTCCACACTGCTTAACTTCCAGCTCAGTCATTCTCCTTCCCACCAATTCTCTAGCCACCCAGTGTCCTTTCCTTCCATCAAACTCTCTTCTGCTTCCATCAGCAGAGGTTGGCTTCTGAGATCTGTGACTAAGAACCATGACCAATGGCTACATTGCAATGTAACCAAGCCACAGCCTGCAGTTCACAATGCCCCTCCCTGTGAGTGCTTCCTGGAGGTCCCAGCAGTCTTATAGTTCTAAATATGAAGCCAATACAAGCCATGACTCACAAGGTCTTTGTGGCTCCTTGCCTGAGCCACTGAGCCACGTCTCTCCTCAGGCCAGCCTCCACACTACACTCAAAGTAATGCTTACAGAACACAGATCTGGGCCCACTGCCCTGCCTTCATTTACTCCTCAGAGGCTTCAAAGCACTAAGGGCACCCTATATCGCCATGGTTTTTTCTGACCACTTCTCAACTGCATCTCCTTCCCCTCAGCCTCTACCCCCAACACACAGTCACCCACTCACACAGACACCCCATGTCCCATTGCTTGTGGCTTCTAAGACACACCAAGCACTGAGGTCCACTTGTCCATCAAGACTTAGTTCAGGAAGCCTTCCCTTCCTCATCGGAATTAAGTACTAGTGAAATGAGGCAGACTTGGGGCCCCCACATGGTTACCCTCAGTCTCAGTGTATTTGTCTGTTCAACCGGACCAATAACACCTATTTTGCAAAGCTGGTAATGGGATAATCATGCTAGCACTCTAAAAGACAGCCCATAAGTGTTGGTCCTTTTCTTTTCTTGATGCTGACCTGATAGCCAAGCAGACTAAGGCTCACAGTTTGGGTCCATGTTTGGCAAGAGCCCAGAAGGGTCAGCACTAGCTGGAAAGAGAGGAAGGAGACAGGAGCCGGTGTATCGGCGAGGATGCCAGGGATGAGAACATGATGGAGCTGTTTAACAGCAGAAGAAGATGCTCCCAGGAGTGGTCCCTGGGCTACACCTGTCATAAAGCATCAGAAAACATCTACCCACCTCCTACAAGTCAATGTTCATCTCTGAGTGTTTAAATCATGAACACAATCGACACTGGGCTCTGAATGTTGTAGCAGCTCTTCATCCAGGGGCTCCTGGGGGGACCACAAACAAAACGGGTTGTCAGCCAACTCTTACAGATAGGCCACGCTGGCCCGCTCCTCGGGGAGTCCTGTGCATTCTGGTTGGTAGGGGACGAAGTTATGCACCCATCAGTGACATCTCCATTTCTTTGGAACTGGAACCCCACCTTCTTAGGTCAGGCTCCCTGGAGGCAGAGCCTGCCAGCTCCCTGGATGTGTTCATACCCTCAATAGTGCTTCCTATTTCTAACATGCTTATGGCTTACGAAGGTTTTGATACACCATATCTCATCTAAATCCTAGACAATCATTCTGTGAAGTGCGCAGAGCCACAATGCTTTTCCTCATTTGAAAAAGTAGAAAACGAGGCTCAGAAAGAGTAAATGGCATCCAGCTGGCCGCTCTTAGCACTGGGACTCGAGCCCGAGTCACAGTCAAGACTACAAGGCTTGGTCTCTCCATTCTCTCTGCTCATAGTCAATGTTTAAAATGTTCACTATTGGGTCTTCCCTCCTCCAGCTCTCAAATACACCTGCTTCTCTGCCTCCCTGCATATAGAGTATCAGAGCATTCAGCCATTGCATATCAGTCCCACCACCTAGACTGACATCTTATTGTGCTCATCTGTACAGCACCTGTGTCTAGTATAAACCTGCTTCCCAAATGAATGCTACTGATTGAAGCAATGGTAGATGCAGCTGGAGAGTGACCAAGAACAGGCCATACGTGGCCTCGAACGTCAGGACAAAAAAATTACACTTCATCCTATAGACTGGAGTTGCACAGGAAGTCATAGGCAGCGCTGTAGCAGAATCAGATTTGCATAACAGAATCTGTATGGCTCTGTGTGGAAGACAGCAGGAAGGAACCCCCCCATCACTCTTCAAAAATATGACAGCACTTTAAACATGAGAAAGTGCTTGCTGAGGAAATTATATTATTGTAGGAAAGCTTGGAGAAGGGATGGGGGTTAAATCCAGAACTCTCTAACCTAGAATTCATGACCATCCATGATGATCACTTCCCCATCCACTCAGCCTTAGGCACCCTGCTTCCTGTTTTGTGCTCCAGTCATTCTGAGCTACTTACAATTCCTGAAAAGGTCCTGCTCCTTCCAGACACCACGCTTTGCCCATGTCACTGTCTGCCTGCAGAGCCTTCCACTCTCATCTCCTTGGGAGATTCGTAATCAGTGTTTGTATCTAGGGCAAAATCTAGGTCTCTTTCTGCCACTTATCTTGCTCCCTAAAGGACTGCTGCTGAGGCCAGGTTAGTTTTGAGGACATTGACTGGGACACAAGGACTCATGGTGGAGCTTTCGGTATAACCAAGAAAGTGCCACAGCCAAAGTGCCAAGCCTTCTAGGAGCCCCATGGCCAGAATAACCAGCCACTCTATCAGTCCAGAGTTTGACTGGAGATTGCTCACCACAGGAAAGAAAAAATCAAAATGGAAGCTTAAGCAAGTTTCTCTAGAAGTTAGACGG